TGATTACATTAATGGAATATCCGTTAGCACAACAAAATATGCTACACCAGTTTAAGGCCACTTACATGTTGAAATTATTAACCAGTTTACAATACTAACAACACATAAAATATACATTTTCCAAATCAGTATTCTGCTTAAAGGTACTACTGAAAACACACTGAAATAGATGAGTTATATTCACGACTGTACTGACTTACCCTGGTAGAAGAATTCACCAACGAACCATTCAGATTGCCCGTGTTGCACTTGAAATTCAAATGTTGATCAAGATGGTGATTTGCTTCCCAGCTTCCCAAATCATGCACCACTGACTTGTCAGAATTTGCAGATATTTTCTGGAAGGCAGTGCAAGTCATTCCTGTGAAACTAGATGGCTTGATCATAAAGGCCTCCAGAGCAATATTACGAGATACCTGTGAAAACATTGAGAAGCAGATATGTTGCTAACTCATTAAGCATAATTGCATTATTATACGTGCATTGTGTATTTACTGTATATACTTTATAAAGGATTGTGCATGCACACACTTCCATACATATTTGTAGGGTAAGAAAGAAAATGGAACTTATTTAAAGAACTGATCTAGAATTCTACAATGGCATAGTGGGTTTGCTTGAATCTTCTTTAGGAATATGTCAGTTTATATCAGTTATAGCAGTTATTATTATATCAGTTTTGCAACTGTGTCATTATCAGCTTCAATGGAATCAATCCTGATTTAAAGCAATATAGTTATAAAGTTAACTAGCAACTGCAGTAGTAGGAATTATTTAAAAAATGAACAAGGATGTGCTTTGTACCTCAGAAATGAAACAGAAAACTTCTTAGCTATTTGGTGGATGGATTGATTTATTACAGATCTTGTTCCACTAGAATATTGAATGTGACTATATGGTTCAATGCAACACGACGTTATAGGTCTTTGGCCTACCCTTTAGTGAGGTGATGTGTCTAGATGGAGACTGTAGCACAGCGCAGAGATATGCATCTCTATCCTTAAACTAGTATATTCATTTCAGCACAGTCCTGTGCGTGAATCTCATATAGCTCATGTTATAATCAGGTTGACTAGCTTGGACTGGCACCACACTTATTGGACTATATGCTTTCTGCTTCCAGGCATAGATTGTTTAGTGATCTGTGAGTGTATGTATTTTGCACATTGATTGCAATGTAAAGATACCTGAGTTAAGCCACAAACTAGCAGGTTTATCAGAAGGATAAATGTACAAACGTGGCAGTTTCGTATTACTGTACTTTGCAAGCTAGCAATACAGAAGTACCTTAAATCCACCTAGTAAAAATTGGTGTGAATCCTTCAGAATTTGCGGCATCATATGAGTTGTGCTGACTAGAAATGACTTCTTTGAAGAAAATCACATTAATTCATACTAATAAATGAATCTAAAGAAAATGTTTTGCATAAAAATATAAGGGCACGACAGAGGGTAGCCTAACTGTGTAAACGTCATGGTACCAGAACACATTAAATCTTAGCATGAGACACAGTGCATGACTTGCTGGTCCTCTTTTGAACTTCGGAAAAGGTTTTCAAATGCTTCAATCACTGATGATTCTGCATATGTCCAAAATGAAAGTACTGAAGTCTCGTTAAGCAATTTATTTTACTTTTTGTTGAAATTAGACAAAATCTATAAGCTTTCTGTATATTTTTTATACTTTTTATGTAAAAGTAATATATATTACTTTTAAAGTAAAAGTAGCCTAAAGATTCTTTTAAATTGCTTCTAAATTCCTAAAACATCCCTTTTTCAGATTAAATTTCCAACTCTTCTGTCCTTGCCTGAAGGTGATCTTTTTCTACACTTGAATGCCAAAGATCATTAGGAATCAATAATTTTTGTATTAAAAATCCAGTGGCTGTTTATTGAAAACTCCTAAAACCTGAAACTAGGTTTACTTGGATAACTTTTTGTACCATCTGCAGATAGCCTTTCAAGGAGTTAAAAAATTTACTGCTTGCAGAATACTATTATCCATATCACGGGAATCAAGCTACACAACTCAGTTAAAACTCCTGTGTGGTAACAGGTTTTCTTTAATCTTAATTATTCATAACTTCATGTTTTCTGCTGTAGAATGGGCATAACACTAGTTCCCTATCTCACATTTGTGAGGTGATGGAGAGTAAGATGTTTGCTAGATAATGTTGGAATAAGGATTCAAGTGATTTCACAACAGTGAGCCCTATTTTTTAAATTTTGACTATTAAATTCTTTAAACACTTGAGGTTTTCCACTCTCAAAAATATACCTGTAAAGGCTTGACAATGTTCAAACACTGTGAACATGCCATTCTCAGCATATAGAAACAGATGGGTAAAATGCAAGGTAAACCAGTGTTCATTATGCAGGATTGTAAAATGAACTAGAAAATGAATACAGATGAACTCAGGGAAAAATTATCCATGGAAACAAGCCACAGTCAGATACATGTTATGAAAAGACACAAGCTAATCTTGTCTCTAAGCAGTACAGATAGAGAAAATGATAATTTGGTGTCCATTTCCTAAAACTCAGATAAAGGCACCACTCAGCAGAAGGGCCAAAGGGATTGTTACCTGGATAAGCTGAGAGCAGCGCCGAAGGCTGCAAAGACTGAGAGCACAAACAAAAAGCCATGTTGCAACTAGCCTAAAATTTTCTGAGCTGGAGAATGAAATGAAAACCCTTCAGAGGTGGTTTTGAAAACTACTGCACCCGCCTGACACAAGACCATTGAGATAAGTTTTATCATCAGCTGGAAGTCTTCCTTTTCAAACTGCACATCTGACATTTATACACAGAAATAAAATAAAAGCAGGAGCGAAGAAGCGCCTCAGAGCAATACTGAAGGGAAATTAATTTGGGGGTGCTGAGGCATACAGATCCACCCTGGGAGCTCTCAGATGCCCAGGGCACCCCTCGCCTCTCCGGCTGCACCCGGGGCTTTTGAGGGGGCTCCCATCCCCTTCCTTCTGGCCCAGTGTCAAGCTGAGGCTCCTCTAAGGCCTCACCTGAACCCCATGGTGGCTGCGTCGCAGCCTGGCCACCAGCCCTGTTGTCCCAGGCCCACCATTGACCTGGGGCCGGCCTCCTCACCACGGCCTGGCCTGGCGACCTCCAGGCTGTGACTGGGCCCGGTTCCCATCACCAGGCCTGACCCTCACCTTGACCTGCTGCCTTGTGTTCCCTGCCTGGCCTCATCTCCACTGCTGAGGACGTGCCCCTGGGCTGGGGCTGCCCCCAGCTGCCCCAGCCTGCCCAGCATCCCGGCTGACGGCAGCTATATGACTTCTCGAAGATTTTAAATAGCATAGAGTAGGATAACGTCTTCTTTGTTTTACTGTTATATGATTATTAAATGAAACATTAAATATATCATGATTTTTATATATATATATATATATGAAATTATCTAGCATTTGAAAGTTGCTACTGACTGTTCTTCCTGCAGGGTGTTTTGTATGCCATTTGACAGCAAGGGAGACTTAAAAAGATCTGAACAAAGGTATCCATCCTGGTGTTTTTCTGACCTCAAAATTAGTCATTCCACAACCTCATGGAACTGGAAAAACATTCTTGTTTTCAAAAAATCATGTAGCGTAACATTCATGGCTCTGAAGTAGCTTCTCAATGTATGGGAACACAGTCGTGCATACGTTATATGACTGACACATTTTAAAGAGGTTCCTTTTTTTCAGGAATGGCATTATAAGCTAGCGGCTACCTAAGCTTTGGGGGTTTTATTTGCTGTTGTTTAAAACAAAGCAAGCAGATACAATTTCTGTGAGACAGTTTGCTGGCTGGCCTCCCAAAGGAACAGAAGTGTTTGGTATTGCATGAGATGACACCAGAAAAACTCCACAGCTTTGTTTATTTACAAATTGCACTCAACAGTAAACTAATTCTCCTACAGAAAACTATAAGAAGCAAAAATATAAAGCATGGCAAAAAGGTTAGTGACACGGATCTACATCTGAGTACACAGAATTACTGCTTACAGTAATGTCAAAAGCTTCCTGAGGCAGTGACAAGAAAAAAATCACCTTTGGCACTTGACCTTTAAAAGAAATTTAAGTATAAAGCAACAGGGCCCTCCTAGCTGTTACATTGCAAAATACTTCTAAAAGGCACATTATTGTCTCCAGGTATTTAATATAAATAAATAAATATTTTCAGCAAATTTCATTCTTTTATGTGAACAGGATTTAAATAAAAAACATCCTTTAGAAAACAGTCCAAGATATTTTTGTCTTTGTTTGAAAGACTGCTTTTCTAAAAATATACAGTGAAGGAACTAAGGCCATTATGTTATTTGGCTCAGCCTGTAATTCGGCTCAGTGTATAATTCCTTTTTTTTTTCTTTTTTTTTTACTTTGATACCTTATTTAAGGTATAGTTGTAAAATATATTCAATTGTAATTGAAGCTAGGACTGAATTCACTTTTAAATAGTGTCTTCATGTAAAAGCAGTAGACAACTGAGAAAATAATAAAGGTTGTTTAAAATGAAGCAAGCAAGCAAACCAACCCAAGGAGCGATAAGGCTTTAAAATATTTATCTAAAATTCTAAAAGGATAAGTTTCAAGGTTCATGATTTAGATGCATTTCTGCTATTTAGATGTTGAAACTGTCAAAAAGACAGTTTCTCAGTACCCAAATGACAACCCCTCAGTATCTAAATGACAAATTCATGTAGGTGTAGGCCAAGGAATAAGAACGATTAGTTCATACTGCTACAGCTCACTTCTAAAAATCTAAAACTAACCACAAATTAGTAAACTTAATGAAAAGATGCACCTTTTTTGATCATTTTCTAAATGCTTTAAACAAGTATTGTCTAGAGTCCTCTCTGAAAGGCAAAAAATCTTCAGGCAACAAGGGAGCATATTGTCTTTTCTCTTATTAAAAATTTCATTCACTCAACTTAGACCTTTCAAAATAAACCCATATACTGTAGTGACAAGAACAATAGAAACTGAGTGAATAGTAAGAACGCTAGAAAGATAGTGTTGTGAACAGCCTATTGTAAGGACAAGAAAAAAAACAATCACAGAATCCAAGTATATCTATGTAAATCTGCTATGCTGTGTATCTGGCTTACACACTCGCTTCTCTGTATACTAGTTGGTTTTAAAAATTGTGAAGAGAAATGACATTTAAAAAATAAATTCTGACAAAAAGTTTTGTAATTTTATTAAATACCTTTGATATAACTTGAATATTGCTGGTCAGTATTTGACTTGCAATGTGTTCCACACATCGTACAATCCTGGTGCAGGCTTTGTCTTCCTTTTGAGCCATCCACAACACATGGTCATCAACCAACATTATGTTGCTGGCAATTTCAATAAGAGCATCCCCAATCTGGAAGAGAAAAAAAACCAACAAACCAAAAATGGTATTGTCTGCAAAACTCACAAAAATAGGAAAAGAGTACACGAGTACAACTGAAAGCAGGCATCTTATTTCTCTTAGTAACCATCATTCAAAGACAGTTTTGATCCTATTAAGAAAATTAAATGGGCTGAAAAATAAAGCCAAAGAAAAGAAAAGTGCAACTGACTTCAAGGAAAAGCTTTTTTATTCACAATTTTAAAGCTTATCTTCAAGATACACCACAAAAATTGAGTCTCTCATTGGGCGATAAATGGAATCCCAGAATTATCATCCTCTTTCTTAAACTAATTAAAATTGACCATGCTTATCTAAAGAACTGCTTCATGTTTAATCAGAGGACCTTTGAGGGGGAAAAAAAAAAATTAAAAAAAGAGGGAAAAGATATTTGAAAGTCGTTTTTGTTACAGACATAGGGGGTAAATTTGAGATATAACTTAGGTGCTGATACAAACCTATATCATCTCATTGGCTATACAGAAAGTGTGGGCTTATAGCTTTGGATGTTTTAATTCACTCTTGTGGCTAACGCAAAGTGATAAATCTTTGTTTTGCCAGATGATATTTTGCAGATTTTGGTAAGTATGACTATGTGTTTCAAATTTTTATTAGTATATTACATTTAGAAAGAATAAACATCATTATGAATATTTTTTTGTGATTATTTCAAATCAAAATGAAAATATTTACTTTTAAAATTCTAAAACTTAATTTGAGTGAGATTTCAAAATTAACATTACCATTATTTTCGAAGGCAAAGATATGCCAAAGATATACAAATTTGTCACAAATAAACCTGAATAAAAAGGTATATAGAAGAGAAAAAATAACTGAGAGAAATATAGCTAAAGAAAAGTTCAAGAGGCTAAAAAGTCAAACTAATAGAAACAGAAAAATCAGGCAAATACACAGATAATTCAGTGGGAAGGAGAAAAGAAATTCAGCAACGGTGAAAAAGGTTTAAGGAATGACTGAGGTTATGAAGTTAGTTCTGCGTTGTCAATTAAAAAAAAATACATAAATTTCACATGCATTGCAAGGGACACAGAAGTAATGAGACTATATATGAAATTTTATGTGACTGTTCCTGAAATATTTAATCTATTTTTGAGAACATAATTACTAGATAATTCTAGATGGCTTTTAACAATGTGACAGAGTTATTGATACAATGAATAATAATAAAACACATTAAGAGACTGGAGTGATTTATGAGAAACGATTAAAGCATACACCAATCAGCTAAGCAGTAACTTACTGAGGGCAGAACAATAGTCTATAAATATACAAAAGGAGAGAAATAAGAAGAGGAAGTAATTTATATTATAATTAAATGCATTAATGAAGAGTAAAGGCATGGCATTAAAAAATACAAAAATTTGGGCTAATACATGTACATCTTCCTGGCAAAAAGTTGTAATATATTGAAAATATGTCCCCAGTGCAGCTGTTGAAGCTCTCTTGTTTGAGAGGTGAACCACCAGATGGGACAAAGTACCACTAAATTGTATAAAAATGAATAATCCTGTGCTGACTGGGAAGGGCACTCCCCGGAGAGGATGTACAGAAACTGTACTAGTTTAGCTAAAATGGTTTAAAAATTATTTTGATACATCACAGAAAACCTCTGTGTATGTATTTTCATTAATTTCTAATTGTTTTATATAACTGTAGTTTCAGCTGCTAGTCAATTCCAAACTAATATACCTTTGTTCATATGTTGACTTGTATTAAATGAAGTTCAATTCTATTTATAATTACATGAGTGCAGCCTCATATGTGAAACTACTGACACTTTAACCTCACATGTATTTTTGTACCTTATGAGTGAGAGTTAAGAAATGGGTGTTAGTAAAGAGGTCAATGAATGAGGAACCTACTTAGTGAACTTGAGAGAGAGGAAAAAGTGTAAAGTTCAAAATAGAAGAGGGAAACAGAGATGAATTAGGAGAAATGTTCTAAATTATGAAAACAATAAGGGATTATGAAATAAGAGATGTAGAGATAAGTGGTGGAGATGGAGATGTTTTGATACCAAAAACCAGAAACTGAAACCTATTTGAAAGGTGGAAGAAATCAATTAAAAGATTAGAGATGGTGCTCAGTTTTAATGGATAATGAATCAGCTGCTAGAAAAACAAAGAGGCTTTATGGTAAATCCAACTGTTTCCTTTGGATGGTAAATTTTTGTTTTGTCAGAAAGCAGCAAGATCTTATCAGGATTTTGAGCTGAAATACAATTGTAGCTTTGAAACATGATTCTTGGAGAGCACTTAATAATACACTTTAGGTCTGGCATATAATGATGAAATTGAAGTTGGAGGCTTTCTCAAATTGGCACTATAATGTTAACTGTTACAATCCTCAGAGCCAGAATGGAATGAACTATGCCAAACCAAAAGAAAACAAATGTTTTAACTATAGCTATCATGTGTACAGAAATTACAGGTTATGAAATCTTTATGCAAGCAGTTACTCTGAAAATTAACAGTAAAAACTATAATGAACATTGCTGTTCTCTGTAAAAACCTATTTTCCCCATAGGGTTTGCATAACTCTGATTAGATTTCCCTGTAAAAATGCCATACATTATGCTAAAAGTTTCTGTAGGAAGTTGCACTTAAAGACACGTTATCTTCTCTTCACATGAAGTGATACATGCTTTCAAAACTCAGTGAAAACCTCCTGATGAAATGGAGAAAACAAAAGCACGTGTAACTCCAGTGGCCAGATGGGGAGGCACCTTGAGTTCATTCTAATATGTTAGACATGGTAGAAATTAAAATTAAAAAGAAAATTAAAGAAGTGGCTTATTGGAAACCAATTTTTATTCCTAAGCAGCCATGCCTTTGTCAGTCAGATGAGATGGCTTAGTTGTCCTTTTTGGCACAAAGAAACATATCACAGTATATGCAGAACATTTGCAATCAGAATATCAGCAATCAATTTTAGAAGCTACTCTTCAGTGTGTGCCTGCATACGTTAAGAACAGGGCCATATGTGAAGACTTCACTTCTAAGTGACACTTTTTGTCAGCATAGAGAAGATATCTTACATCTTCAACTTCATCCACGAAGACAATTAACTTTTCCATTATATAAGCCAAATATATTACATCCATTTTATCCGCAAAGTGGGAAGCACCTCTTGTGTAGGCTGTCAGCTGGCGGGAAAATTCAAGCACGGTTGTCAAATTGATGTGCATCTGAAAATACATCAGAATTGTTATGTGTAATAAATCAGCTAGCTTCGTTCTCTTTTAAAAACTGGAGATCATGTCCATTTGTATAATGCTTACTCTAATTTCATATGGATTTATATGCATCAGTAGTACCAGGGACATGAATTTCAGGGGCATATGAATGTATCTTCAGCATTACATCTTAGATTTCATTGCTGTTATCTGAAGACACCACCACAACAGGCCAACAAATTTTGAAGATTTTTGTCTACTTTTTCTTGACTGTAACTAACTGGCCCCATAAAATATTATACCAAGCTACTAACCTTGCCTTGGCTATATCTTTAGATCATCGTGACAACAACAGTATCAGTGAGGGTTCATATATACAGCGGTGCATGGTGGGAGTACAAGGGACAATGGTAGTAAGTTGAAAGAAGAGAAGTTCAGGCTGGTTATGAAGAAAATCTTTTCTGCCATGAGGACAGTCATGCATTTGAGCAGGTTACCCTCTGAGGTTGTGCAGCCTCCATCCTCAGAGGTTTTAAAGACCTGAGTGGATAAAGCCCTGAGAAACCTGGCCTAACCTCATTGCTTACAGGAGAATGGACTGGATTCTGGAGACCTTCCTAATTATTTTATTATCCTGTAATTGCACTGGCTCTCTTAATATAGTAATTATTCTTATTTAACTATGAACACATCTGAAAACAAACTTCCTGTGGTGTAATCTAGCACTACTATTGGGAAGAAATGATCGAGGAAACTGAAAGTTGTAAACATTAGTATGGCAGTCACAGGTCTGTGCCTTCCTCCATGACGTTCCCTGTTATGCTCTTTTTTTTCTCATTAATTTCTATCCATTTACTTTTTTATCTCACTCTCTTTTTTACTTATCCATAAGAAGCCATTTAAGTACTGCTTTTTTGGAAGACATTGAAAAGGCATTCTAAAGTAGGCTTCATTTCTGCAGCTCTTTTGAATATATTATGGACAATGGCAATGAGGAAAGGCACTTCATCTGACAAAACTCTGATACAGGACTTCAAGAGTAATTAACATCTTTCTGGTAAAAATGCATGTGGGGAAGACAAAGAAGGAACTGAAGTGAAGCACTGATGACCCTGCCATTATTACTAAAGGTCATCTAGACTCCAGGCACCCAGAGGAAAAAAAAAAAAAATAAAATAAAGGCAATAAATGTTGTACACTTGTTCCTACTACAACTTCAGTTACCAAACAAACACATTGTCTTTCAAGTAAAACATTTTGTTAAAAGTCCAGCTGTCCCAAACTTGTGTCTGAACAGACATTTCTTGCAAGCTATTCAATAAAATCAGTACTAGAGAAGGGAAGCCCTGGATTTCATAATGTTACCTGACTAAAAGCATGAAGAACTTGAGTTACTTCTTGTGAATAAGGACATTCCGAATAGTTTTCTTCATCCCAACGTCCAGTTCGATTACATTTACGCCATGCCTTAGACTCTTCTGCGCCATTGTGAAAGGCAAGGGAATTAAATGAATACTGGAGACAGGGATGGTAAGCAGTTATCCCGGCCAGAGTTTTGGGCCATCTATGAACAACATGATAATAAAAAATTACAGCATGAAACTTCTTATTTAAAGGCAACTTACAATATAGCAACAATATACAGAATATATGAGAAAAAAGGCTATTTTAAATTTTACCTCATTATGTTCTATAACAAATTACTTTGTTCCCTTGGAAAATGTCAGAATTATAGAGGTTCGAGTCTGGCTGGTCACACATTAATTCTGCATTAATTTCAGGAAGGTGTTTGGTGTTAAGGAAAAAAATATGGATGGCATGTTCCCTACATTCATCTTTGCAGACTGCACAAGGCAGAGCAGTAAGTCCATAAAACAAAAAAAACCAAAACCCTGTTACTAAATGCTGTAAAAGGTAAATGCTCAAAATATACCTGGCAATCTTTGCTTTGCATTTTGACCCAACGCTACAAAGCCCTCTCTGCCACAAAGCCCCGAAAAGCAAAAATCCCTGAATGTATCAGAAACCAATAAAGACGTTTTCAGCAGAGATTGTGTCTCATGGAGAAGGAAGGAGCTAGCCCTCAAAAATTAACTATTTAGGTGTACATGATTTATGTAGTGTGATTGCAAAACAGCCTTTGAAAACAAACTACAAATCAAGAGCAGCCAGAATTCTTCTATTTAGCTCATAGGTCTATTAAACAATACTGTTTTTCTGTATATCTGCTGCAGTCTCAACCTAGAACGGCACAACTGGATCTATTTCTTTTGGTACAAAAATCCATTGTCATTTCTAGGCTAGTACGGACATAGCAGGATCAGGTAATTGGGAGAAATCAAACAAAACCGGAAGCATATTATCAGCAAGTCAGCATGTCTGGAAAGGATATAGTTCTTTAATTGCACTGATATAATGATCGAACCCAACCAATCATAAAAATATTCTGCCTGCCAGTGAAGCCCCACCTTGACAATCCACCTTTGCTCAAACATACATATTAGTCCCTCTTAGTTATACAATGCAGGTCCATTTGGACTTTGTTACATAATATACTGACAGGTTTTGGGCTATGTAAGTTTTCCTCGTTTCAAAGAAAGAAAAGGTAAGAAGAAAAATATTTTTATATGTCATAGCTAACTGTCACCGGAGTAATTAATTTTGTGATGTAAAAACAGTTGATGGAAAATGAACCATGAAAGGAGCTTCACAAAAAATAAAAATATGTACAGTAGTATATTCTCCTTTTGCCTCTGGGCTGAAACAGTCTTTTTAGTAAAACATTTGCTTTAATGCAATTGGGCCAAACTGAGTAGCAACTTACCTCAAAAGTAAAACTAAAGAGGTAATTCTGAAACTAGTATTAGCACAGGTAGTAGAACCTGGCCTTTATGAATAGGAATGACAGGACATTACAACATTACCACTTGCATTTCAGAATGATCTTACAGGGAGCTGAAAAACAAAAAATGAGCAAAATATGGCCATCATAGAGAAAAACACTTAGTACATAAGGCCAGTTCATTCTGAGTCACAGTGCCTAATTCTTACTGCAGTTGTGCAATTATAAATACCACCTAGGCTGGTCAGCTGAAAGGACCACACTTCCCTAACAGTTGATGCTTTTTTCCTTTTTTGGCCCAATGAAAGAACTGTTCTTTCTAGCTTTGCTTTTGTGGTTCAACTCTTTCTGGTTACATACCTGCTATGTTATCAAAACTTCAAAGACCTTTGTAAGAAAAATTACTGGTGTGATAGCTGCGTCTCTGAGGATAAACCTTTGGAACAATTTCAAGTACTAATGCTGAGTTTGAGCCTGATAAATTCTCTATAATTTTAAATTCATTCCCTCAAATGCCAAAAGAACCTATGGACTCAGCATCTTTTTGACATACCTTTTAAAAATAAATTTATATGGATTTCTAGGAAGATGATCAACAGGGAGAGAAATGTGCACTCCTGTTCTTTTGATTTATATAAAATGACAAAAATGCCCCTGGTGTTAGTTTGTGCAGTCTGTAGAATTTATATATATTTATTTATGAAGAAAAGGATGTAATTTTCAGGCAAGAACAAGAACTTCATAAAGTTGTCATCTAAAAGATTCAGCACGTGTTATCTGATAGGAAGTATATATATTTAAAAAAGATCTAATTAAAATACATTTAAGCATGTCCATTATGAGAAAACACAATGGCAGTTTTTGTGATCACGAAAAAAATGTATAGCTGAGATTGTCAAAGATCTCTAATGGATTTTAATCCATATATATGGATTAAATTGGTATATAAATGTATGTTCAGCAAATGTGGTATACTCACTGGAACTGAGGTTAACGTAATGAAATAGCTTCATAGTAAAGAGAAAACAGATTATATGAGTCAGTTTCTCCACTTCTTTCTAATTCATTCCTTTATTTTTATTCAAACACAAGAAACAGTAGTAAAAGGCCTTTGAAAAAGTTTTAAAGTAACAAAAATGAAGAGAGGCTTTCAGGTCAGAAGTATTTGCAGAAAGTTCTGGTGTTTAAGAGAAGTTTCCTCTCATCTACTTTTCCTTTCATTAACTGTTCAAGCTGAATTCTTATTATAATTCACTTGGTAACAAATTATCTTCTTGATTTCTCAATGGGAATGCCATCATACACCAGTCTCATTGTCAAGCAGGTAATTATATTTTGTTTAAGAGTTTTATACATATCATTGAAGTATTTTAGAGCTAACTGAAAACAATACCAAATTCCACAGAATCCTTAACTTTTTCGTCAGTTTATGAGGATTAAACTTTAAAAAAAACCCACCAGCATATGTAGATAAAAGTAAAGATGAAACAAAAATTACATTTAGTCAACAAAATTGTGCAGACTCCAAGATTCAGATAGCAGGAAGGATGTGTTTTCTAATCATGTGATATATTGGTGAAACTGTGTGTGTCCTTAAGCTCACCTCAAACTATCTATTTGTTTTACTAAGTAGTTTTACTTGCTATTTTGATTCTCTTCAGTGAAATATTTTACTAACAGTTTTATGTTATTTGTTACCTCTAGTATCAGCTGAACAAAATCAGCAGAACGGGAACAGATTAGAAAAGTACTGAAGATTTAATCTTCTAATGCTTTAATGCAGTTATCATATTCTGTAATTTAGAAAAGACCAAGAACCACTTTGAACCCTCTCTCATTTAGCTGTAAAGAGCCTACACCTTTTGAAATTTTCCATAATCTCACACTGAGGAATCAGAAGATTCTCCGACCTTCACAAACCACTGCTGCTCTTGAAGCACTAGCTGCCATCTCCCATAAAAATCACAGTGCTCTTCCTTCCTCCTATATTACATAAAAATGACAAGTAAAATAAGTGACAACTTCGTAACTGACACTGAAGTATCATGTAAGCATGAATATGGTCCATATCTATACCAACGTATGAAACACACTCCAAAACCAGAAAATCATACCTGAAATCTCCCTTGTTGTTAATGACTCTTTCTGCAGGGCAGTAGGGTGCAGCTGTTTCAAGTACCACAATTTCTACTTGTTTAGTGCTATTTCCATAGGAATTGTTGACTAGACACTCCCAATCTCCAGTTGCATCAATGTCAATGCTGGATAGGATAAGTTCACTATAAAAATAAAAGATAAATTATTGTATATGCTTAATCATATAGAGATTGAGTCATTGGTTTTCTGACACTATTTTCAGAGATTTTCTATGAAAATATAAAAACAGGTTTTGCTCTATGTTATTATAGGGATAGACAATATGTGAGTGATTGGTATTAAGATTTTAGTAGCACCAATTTGGATTGACCACTCAGATCATGACAGGCTATAACACAGATTACCAATCATCACAAAAGTATATCAGCTATGTGTCAATGCCCGTTCTCCTTTCCCCAAATATTATAAAATGGATTTTTTTGTTGCATAAACAAGCACTTGAAAGTCAGAAATGCATTTCAAGTTGACAACACAACCAATTCACAGAGAATGCTTCCCTTCAGCTGCGATTGCAGCTCCTATGGCATTTCAACAGCAGAATCTGCTGCTCCTGTGGTGGCATGGGAAAAGTTTTCTAGAATAGCCATTGACTTCGGAAGCCGTATAGAATTTTCCTGATGAATGCAAAATGAGATGAGGCAAATGCTGATATTTCTTTCAGTACTTTACTACTCACAAACGTCTTTCACACTGCCCCCCACCAAATATGAAATGTAGTTATTAATATAAATAAATTAATGTTGCATTAACTCTTTATAATGAGTGTTAGACAAGTTAAATATAGAGACACTTTGTGGCTTCTCTTACAATACAGACATTCTGCATGACTGCACCACACCAATATTTAGCTACCCAGGCTAAATATTCTATGTATAATTAGAGGAGGATAAAATAATTTCAGAAACATTTAAAATTGTCCAGAACTGTTCTGGTTAGTATTTTCTGTATATTTTAAATCAGGAGAGAAGCTTTCCTTCATCTAATGGATGTAACCTGGGCCCTAATGAAGTCAATAAAGTTTAGTTTTTCAATTGACTTCATCAGGGATAGAATTTTATCCAATTACTGTAACTCCATAGATCTCATAGACAAAAATAATGTTAACTACTACATTTTAAGGAAGTAATACATTGGATCTTAAATCTGCTATTGGGCTAGAAATAAATTTTACTACAGTTCTAAAGAAAACACAGCTTTTGCAAGTAGTTGGGAGAGGAAAAAAGGTAGTAATTATCTGAAATATTTACTTTGCTTTATACAAATGGCTCGCCTTTGACTACGCCTTGTGGTTTAGACAATTAGAAATTATGTGGGAAGAGATGGAGTACAGTCAGAAAGGGAGAGAAGGTACATTATGAAAAGAGAAGCACAGAATTTAAACGTTATTAAATTGATTTCAAATCTCTAGTTAAAACAAATTCTTAAAATATTCTACTTGTGGCCTTTGGCACTTTTGTAAAGAGCCTGACAATTTGAAGGATATACAGAGAATAATTATGTATAATTTATTTTTAATTTTTTGCTCTTTTAAACTTCTCTAAAAACATCATCCTTTTTCAGTTTAAACCTTTGTATATTATATATGCCCTTTTATTAACTTCGCTACAAGAAAGGATTGAATCTAATCTCCTTGTATATAGACTACATCTGATACACATGGAAGTAGACCGCAATCAAGGTAGGAAGTGATTAGACAGCTGCGTATGTAATTTTCCCTTTGAAATATGCATACAATGAAGGATGATTTTCTCAAGTACTTACTACAGGACCGTTATCTTGATCCCCAGAAAACAAGCAAACCATGGTAAATAGCCTTTGATTTAAGTTAAATTGCTTCAGAATTTTTATGCAGTTCTCCAGATATTCAGTCAAATTTATCATTAAACAGTACCTTTAAAAATCTCTCACTGTTCCTATTTATCATGGCTTTGAGGTCCAAGTACCTTGGAACCCCCTATTTCATTTTTACAACAAATTCTAACATGTTTTTATTGCAGAAAATATAGAAAAAGCATTACTAGCCATTCTCAGACAGAGTAGCTGAATATTTTCATGTCAAAAGAAGGAATTGTTCTCTTTAAAAGTCTCAGATGAGAAAGCCCAAGAACAGCAGCCTCTTAGCTAACTCAATACATCTTATATTCAGGTTGAAATACTTAAGTGAAATTAGCCAGTTGATAAAATTTTTTTAATTAAATCTTCTATTTCATACGTCACAACAATCTCACATCATCTTTATAGACAGCTGAGAAAGAATATATTCCTAGAGCTTTTAAAAACAATTATCCGTAAAAGCTCTTTGTCACAGAAACAATAGGCAGCATAAATATTCACCTGTGGCATCAAGACGCGGACACTTCCCAAGTGAATAGAATGTATGATAGATGTGCTGATCTTTTGATATATTCCGTATAAAATATCTATAATCATTGTTAAAAATACATATTTGATAAAACTGGGAACCACAGTGATTTTAGGTAAATGCAATACTTAAACATATTATCAGTTTTACAGGTAATCAATATGAAGATAAATAAATATGAAGAAAAAGGGTACATTTTCCATTTATTTAAATTGCTGAAACGTGTTCCGATGCAAATTTATCTGCTGCTAAACAGATATCCTGTCATTAGATGAAGTTTCCCAGTTTCACAGACAAATATTTACTGATACATCAGCGTTGCTTCTGGTAGAAACGCAATACTTGAACACTGGTTCAAGTTCTGGAAAATGATGAGTAAATCCTCACATTCACATTTCTAATCTTCTATGGCCCTTTCTTCAGATGGTGAACCAAAATAAGCCAGAATAGGTTTATGCAATATAGAAGAAGCTGTATAATGACTAGAACATGGAATTGTCCTCTGAATTGCCATCTGGCCACTGTAAATGATGCATTCATTTATATTCCTCTAGGAATATTTTGGATAGCAAGCCCAATGGTAAAACTGTTCATTTACTTACCATCTGGATATGACAAATGACAAATTGATCTTATACCTCTGGAGATTTTGGGGGACTGGATTAAAAAAAATAAAAAGTCTTTTAATTCTCAAAAAGAGCAGTCAACTTGATCCTTTAACATTTTCTCCACTTAGAATCCTTGGCGACTTCATAGTCCTGGCAGACCAAAAGGAAAGGGTGGGCCTGTATAGGATTTTAAACCTCTTCCTAAAGTTTTCTAGTAGGTCAGTTACATATTTTAAGTCTTGGCACTGTTACATTAGCACGCCCAGAAGTTCCATGTTTTTTCTTACTCTTAGTAGAAAGGCATTCTTGATCTCTCTTGGCCATGGCAACAAGTCTTGATAAAAGGCAAGAACTCTCCTGTGACCTGAGAATGTGGCAGGACTCTCTGGTTTAGGAGCTTGACAAGAGCACAACAGAATTAAGAGAGGTCAGCACCTGTGGCTGTACACTTTTCTTAATTATCCTACCTCACAGAAGCTAATAAACATCAGGCCACAAATGAAATGATCTTGCCTCTACTATGCAGCTTTCCTAAGGATGGAGTATGAGTCAGAAAGAGTTCCTGCTCCCTCTACATTAGCAATCATATCCCACTCCTCAGAGGTGTGATAGTTGCTACTTTTGTGGAAATTTTTGACCTACCAAGACATAAACCAAAGTCAGACATTCATGAGATGGTGTCAAGGCAAACTGAATATGAAGATGGCTGCCTAAAAAAATCAAAAGGATGACTAGCAAGCTTTTCTCAAGTTTTCTTTTGAAACTATAGTGGCCTTCTCCGTAAAAACATTGAAAGGAAGAAAGAGAATAGACATGTTTCTTCTTTGTACTGGGAAATTTCATGCGTGGTAGGATTCCTTTTTCAAATATGATGACTGGGATATTGAAAAATAAATTAAAATATACAGCTGATGCAATTGCATGAAAAAGTTGTTATAACATTCAATAAAAGCCTGTGGCATTGGTCATTACAAAGAGAGGAACCATAATGCAAGCGGAAGCCATACTCATGTAATCAAGTAACCTGTGACAATGGTTTTCTATTTGAGGAGTAGTTTTGCATTGCTACAGCTATGCATAACTAATTAGACAATCAGAAGTAGGTCTCATTATGCAAAGTTACACAACCATGTCCTGAAGTAATACCTTAGCGACATTTACTGTATGCCCCAGCAGTCATTTGCATGCTAGGAAAGAGTAACAAATAAAGAGGAGACTTTAACACCACATTTTGATTGGCTTTCCACAAGAAAGGCTTTAAAGTCTGACTTGAGTTCCTGTAAGACTTGGGAAGAACCAACTGCTCTTCCTGGAGAAAAATAAAAAATAATTACTCAAACACAGATAACATTTAGGTTTCCTCATATTCTTCTTCAGACAGATAAACAGCAAATGCTTTTCTACAGCTGAGGCAGAAGGCCTGCATAACCTGCCTCCAACCCATATCACCTTAAATTATTAATACTAACACAGAATTTAAAAAATGAGTGTTGGTCTCCAGAGTACACTGCTGCTTGGAATGCAGCCTTTCACAGGGGATATAAGGTTAAAACATGGAAAATGAAGAGAGAATGTGTAAATCTAGGTGCTTTAACTGAACTTAAATTGCTAGTCTGATCTCTCTGACAAAGTTACTTATTTACCCATGAAAGAAACAGAAGGCTGATGGCCTTTAAGAAAAGCTTGTGTCCAGGCAACAGCAAGAGAAAAGGAAGACTAAAGATTAAAGCACTCATTTTATGCTAGATGTCTAGCAAATATTTTCAGGTGTAATCAATTTGTCATACACTTAGGAAATTCAATACCCATTTCTGTTTCTTCTGACTGAATATAAAAAGAAAGCATAACTTACCATATAATGCCATCCATAGCTACCCAAGAAACATAATATGCTATAACGTACTTTTACTATAATTTATCTATCAGCTAATTTGTTCACATCAGTATGCTAGGACCATGACAACAGTTGGATTTGATTTCAGAGATGCTGATGGAAAGGACCTAATTTTAATGACAATATATTGACAGAAAAAAAAACCCAAACCAAAACCTACTTCCAAAATGGGAGAAAAGACCTGTATGTCAGTTAGTAAACCATCTCACTTTATTTTCATTTGTATTGCTCAAATTACTTTGACTGAAATGCAAATGT